TGTGGCTCACGGGGCTGTTAGGGTGGCACAGAAATCCCTCGGAATGGGAAAACGGGTCATTTTCGTGTCGCCACATTGCATACGAACCGCATGAAACTTCCAGAGGCATTTGCAGCAGGAATGCATGTGCACTCAAAAAAGTGAATATTTCTCACGGATAGACCCCGTGAAACGCTAGAAATTGGCGGGGATGTCTCTCTTGTGGCTCACGGGGCTGTTAGGGTGGCACAGAAATCCCTCGGAATGGGAAAACGGGTCATTTTCGTGTCGCCACATTGCATACGAACCGCATGAAACTTCCAGAGGCATTTGCAGCAGAAATGCATGTGCACGTCAAAAAAATTGATATTTTTCACGGATAGACCCCGTGAAACGCTAGAAATTGGCGGGGATGTGTCTCTTGTGGCTCACGGGGCTGTTAGGGTGGCACAGAAATCCCTCGGAATGGGAAAACGGGTCATTTTCGTGTTGCCACATTGCATGCGAACCGCATGAAACTTCCAGAGGCATTTGCAGCAGGAATGCATGTGCAGTCAAAAAATTGAATATTTTTCACGGATAGACCCCGTGAAACGCTAGAAATTGGCGGGGATGTGTCTCTTGTGGCTCACGGGGCTGTTAGGGTCGCACAGAAATCCCTCGGAATGGGAAAACGGGTCATTTTCGTGTCGCCACATTGCATACGAACCGCATGAAACTTCCAGAGGCATTTGCAGCAGAAATGCATGTGCACTCAAAAAATGTAATATTTTTCACGGATAGACCCCGTGAAACGCTAGAAATTGGCGGGGATGTGTCTCTTGTGGCTCACGGGGCTGTTAGGGTGGCACAGAAATCCCTCGGAATGGGAAAAACGGGTCATTTTCGTGTCGCCACATTGCATAGCGAACCGCATGAAACTTCCAGAGGCATTTGCAGCAGGAATGCATGTGCACTCAAAAAATGTGATATTTTTCACGGAGAGACCCCGTGAAACGCTAGAAGTGGGCGGGGATGTCTCTCTTGTGGCTCACGGGGCTGTTAGGGTGGCACAGAAATCCCTCGGAATGGGAAAACGGGTCATTTTCGTGTCGCCACATTGCATACGAACCGCATGAAACTTCCAGAGGCATTTGCAGCAGGAATGCATGTGCACTCAAAAAAGTGAATATTTCTCACGGATAGACCCCGTGATACGCTAGAAATTGGCGGGGATGTCTCTCTTGTGGCTCACGGGGCTGTTAGGGTGGCACAGAAATCCCTCGGAATGGGAAAACGGGTCATTTTCGTGTCGCCACATTGCATGCGAACCGCATGCAACTTCCAGAGGCATTTGCAGCAGAAATGCATGTGCAGTCAAAAAAAATTGATATTTTTCACGGATAGACCCCGTGAAACGCTAGAAATTGGCGGGGATGTGTCTCTTGTGGCTCACGGGGCTGTTCGGGTCGCACAGAAATCCCTGGGAATGGGAAAACGGGTCATTTTCGTGTTGCCACATTGCGTACGAACCGCATGAAACTTCCAGAGGCATTTGCAGCAGGAATGCATGTGCACTCAAAAACTTCTATATGTTTCACGGATAGACCCCGTGAAACGCTAGAAATTGGCGGGGATGTGTCTCTTGTGGCTCACGGGGCTGTTAGGGTGGCACAGAAATCCCTCGGAATGGGAAAACGGGTCATTTTCGTGTTGCCACATTGCATAGGAACGCCATGAAACTTCCAGAGGCATTTGCAGCAGAAAGGCACGTGCACTCAAAAAATTTAAAATTTTTCACGCATAGACCCCGTCAAACGCTAGAAGTTGGCGGGGATGTCTCTCTTGTGGCTCACGGGGCTGTTAGGGTCGCACAGAAATGCTTCGGAATGGGAAAACGGGTCATTTTCGTGTGGCCACATTGCATAGGAACGGCATGAAACTTCCAGAGGCATTTGCAGCAGGAATGCATGTGCACTCAAAAACGTCTATATTTTTCACGGATAGACCCCGTGAAACGCTATAAATTGGCGGGGATGTCTCTCTTGTGGCTCACGGGCGCTGTTAGTTAGGGTCGCACAGAAATCCCTCGGAATGGGAAAAGGGGTCATTTTCGTGTTGCCACATTGCGTACGAACGGCATGAAACTTCCAGAGGCATCTGCAGCAGAAATGCATGTGCACTCAAAAACGTCTATATTTTTCACGGATAGACCCCGTGAAACGCTAGAAATTGGCGGGGATGTGTCTCTTGTGGCTCACGGGGCTGTTAGGGTCGCACAGAAATCCCTCGGAATGGGAAAACGGGTCATTTTCGTGTTGCCACAATTGGCATACGAACGGCATGAAACTTCCAGAGGCATTTGCAGCAGAAATGCATGTGCACTCAAAAACGTGAATATTTTTT